AGATGTGTATAAGAGGATAGATAGATAGATATTTATGTGCTTTCCTGCATGATAATATTGATCAAAGAAGCATGTAGTGATTTGGAATTTGTTATGTAAAATATTCTAAAAACGATTCTAACGATCGGATTTATAACTAATTTAGTATATACCCTAATTATCATACGTATTAATAGGAATATAATATGATGATGAATAATAATTACAACAATAACGAAAACGAGAACATTAACAATAACAATAATTAAAATATTATTTTAATATTAAAATTATTACTACTATTAATTATTATTAGTAATACTATTATTCACAACTTACATAACGAGCTTGATTGACATTAGCACCTTTGCTAATTAAATATTTCAGCAGATTGTAATGTCCATTCTGAGCCGAAATAAATAGCGGTGTAGCGCCATCCTGCGGAAAGATTAGATAAAATGCGTTGTCAGGTAGGCCTACAATCACAATGCGTTACACATGCGTTAACACCATTCAAGAATTGAACTTTTAGTGCAGGATCTACTGTACCTGATATTTTATCATGCGGTTGACACCTTTCTATCGGACTCATGATCTACGGTAATTGAAACCCGTCCTATGCTCATGCGCACGCCCAATATTTTTCGGGAAATGTCAATACAAGGGTAGGCCTACATTCAATCTAAATCAGTTTAGGCATATAAATAGGCTTACAATTTCATGTGCCTTACTTTGGTACGCTGCTGACAAGCAAACCAGGGTTGATCTATCAGATGTCCCCACAAGCCCTTGCTACTGTCCCGACCCACCCTCAGGCTACTGTTCCAGATGCTTCTTGTATGTCACTGAAATATCGGGTGGCGATGACATTATGTCGTCGGTACGCTCGTCAGCCTTTCATCGTCATAAAATAGCAAAGCTGCAGCTGAGTTATCAAACTCTCTGCACATTACAAGCATTAAATGCCATGAACACCTTGTAGTAATAATGCCCTCAGATCCGGTCTAAGTTATGAAATAACATTGATTGAACTAAAATATTTTAACCTATCCACCCCGGCATCATTTTACGAGAGGGCAGAATTTTAAGACCGTTATTATCATAGGCCTATCATAAAAAGGCGACGTCGAGTCTGTAGTCTGGGGAATACAGTGTATGAGCCATATTCTACTACCGTAAATGCGTGTTTGAATAAACGCCGCTGTCGAATAAACGTCACACTTAAAACGTGATTGTAGGCTCACCGCCTATTAAGCGCCGCGGTGCTTAGAGTGTGCAATAATCAACATGCGTTAATATTTTTTGCCTTTTAGCTTAAGTGGTCCTTTTAGAGCACGAACTTTCAAGATCGTAACTCTCATGGACGTGACACAACGCGTTATTTACGCAGACGGCAATGATTATTTTCATCAAAGCGAACCTCAAGTTACGATGACAGACCTGAGAAAGATACGTTGCTTTTCGGTGTTGGTAATAAACTGTAGGTCCTGTGGCAAAGTTTTAGGTTCACGAATACGGTATTAAGCATTTAGCGAATAATTATTCATGAAATATCTGACGTCATTCCTATGTTCTGATTGGCTGAAAGAAATGTATAGGCCTATTGCTTGTGTCTACTGAAGAAGAAGGGTGAAAAAAAACCAAAAAAACGCGGGCCCGGTATTTCCCTACCTTCATCGTTCTGTGGAGGTCTGCCCCACGTTCAACGAGCTCTTGAACAATGTTGAGTTTATTACACTGGCATGCGACAAAAAGCGGCGTACCACCATCCTACAAGAAATCAAACTAAATCATTAGTACCAATCCTAGATCATGTATTAATGCCATCAAGAAATAAATATATAGTTCATTAGTGTTTACTAATATTTATTAAACACACTAAAGCAGGCTAAGTCGAAAACGAACTCAATATAATTATGTTTATAACCAAAAATTTAGGGGAAAAAAACCACGTTATAAATGCATTCATCTTTGTGCTTTATGTGAGGTTGTTCTCATTTTTCTCGCAATTTTATATACTGTACAGACATAGTAGGTCTACTTGATAATAAATGGCTTTTTGTAATCTTAAAACAAAACAAATTCCCATTGACCTTGCGATTACAATACGTCAAACGCCTTCGACGATGGAGGTATAAATTTGACCAAATATTTCGTTAACATTAATTAACTGATTAGAATTAATAGCGTGTTTTATTTCGTTAATTAGTCACGGCATACCCATTTCGTATTAATCAACGAACATAGAATTTTTATTCATCGCGACACGCGATACGCGATGAAATCACTACAGTATTTTGATAAGCTAGGATGACCTAAGAATCCGTATAATTAACTTAAAATTACGAGAGTGAGAGAAACGATTTATCACACGTCGACAAAAGATGCTCTCTGAAAAAAAAAATCGATATTTCTTTAAATCGTCGTCTTAAAACGGACAACATTATAGTCCCTATAATCCAATAATTCCTTTCAGTAATAGGCAGGTCTATCCATGATCCCCTCTTTTCAAAGCGTGTGCACAGAGTGCGTTACCCCAACCCTTGTGAATGTCTTCTAGGAAACCCCTAGTGGAGTCATCTCGATTTAGTAAATTCGGCCCGGAGGAACATGAATTGACTAAGACCGCGGGCAAAATCCCTGAACGACCAATCATGGTTTCCCGGTGTTATAGGCCAGGGGCTGATCTGAGTTCAGATTTATAGGGGTCAGCAGTGGCTTGGCAGCTAAAAAAAGGGAGGGGTGTCAGGACCCCTGAGGGCCCAAATGTGTGCACGTCTGCACGTATTATGCACATACGTGCAGTCGGCCCCTGTAGAACCAAGGGGCCGACTAGAGCCTCAGCCTAGAATAAAAAAAATCCCATTTTGGGCAAATGATTATTTATTTTTGATTTTTGATCTGGCGACACAGTCGTGCGTCGGACGACAGGGGGTTTAGGCCTGGGGGACTGTCTGACGGTGGGTGGGGCGGGGGTGCGCCTTCCCCTGCTGGCACCACCACTGAGTAAAAGGTTAAAGGTTATTCATTTATATTGCGCAATATTGAGTATATACTGTATGCCTAAAAATGGGGGTACAAACAATTCAAATTACAACATAACCTGGCTCGGGAGATCCACTTCGCATCCATGTTCAAGAAGTTCTCGTACAGTCTCTAGGAATCCTCCCTGGGCAGCGAAGAACAATGCGTAAGTTCCAGTCTGAAAAAATAAGAAAAAAAAAAATTAAAAAAAATTAAAAATAGACAATACGATTTCATTTTTAATTTGCAAAGAGCTTGGTTGCATGTCAATGCTTATATACCGTATTTATAAAAATCTTTTTATTAATTTTGATAATTTTGATAACACCAAATATTCAGCTGGTGGCTCGGAATGTACTGGAGTTCAAGAGAACGGAAGGGCTGATGGGTATGATCAAAAAGAAAGACAAAATAACTGCATTACACTTCTTTTTTTTTTTTTTTCTTTTTTTATAACAACCAGTAAAATTTTGCCCAGGCTCACTGTTCTTATTTATTGGCCGACTTCAGGCTCAAAATGTTCTTATTTTGTTCTTATTTTACACGCTTTTCAAACATAGAAAATTATTATTGTAGAGCAGTATACACGTCTGTACTGAAATGTAGTTAAAAGTAGACCGGAAAAAATCTCCCCTGAAAAAAGGCCCTGAAAAAATTTCCCCAGAAAAAAGGCTCTGGTAACAATGGCCCCAAATGACAGGAGCTATATGTACTGTATTATAGAGGTTATTACACAGTCACACCTACTGCACATAAGGTACAGGTATAATTTGTCGTTTTTGGTTTTTCTATTTAAAAAAAATAAAAATCTCATTTTACATTTCACCTCAGTCTCATTTTGTTCATATTGTTCTTATAAAGAAAAGTGTTATAGTCACATTGTTAGAGGGCAATGGCAATAGAGGCTTCAGATGGTTAACTGAGCCCCAGGTTAACTGAAATGGTCAAGAGGAAAAGGACGAGTTAAATAATAATTATGTCTCAATAACCTGAAAGAAATGGGACCTATGAACAAATCAAGAGGGCAAAAAATAAAACTGGTAGAGAACTATAAACCTGTCAAAAAAAAAGGAAAAAAACGAATGATGTATAGGAAGGAATACAAGCAGCAGCGCATCAATGAGTGACTTGGAAAGGAGCGCACTGCATCACATCTTAAGCCCCGTCAAAACTACCAATTGTTTGACAAAAACATGTGACATGCCTAAATATGGTCATAATGACATCATATCATGACAATATATAGGCACATCATGGCTATGTATGGGCAAAGCAGGATAAGCTCAGGATGTTCATATATTTTAAAGGGCATCCGCATTATAAATTATGTCATTTGTCGACATCCGAATTTGTGGCATTAATACATGTACGCTTACAGTTAGATTTACGGAATGTCACCACCGTCACCGCAGACAATTAAACTGTTCAGCTAGTTATCTTGTTGATATTTCAATAAACAACTTCGGGTTATTTGAATTTGTTGGGTTGAAGGTCTCGCCAACGTTCCAGACACTTAAACTATTCTTTAAATGTCTGTTCTTAAAAAGGTTGCTACTTGCATGGTAAAATGCTACATGCAAATGTCCCCTGCCCCCACCGACAGGTTCGGAAATCCTGCCGAAGAGATAAGAAAATCGAATAGGTGTGAAAGTAGGGATGCTGTCGTTCACGCTTCGGAAACGCGGTCCGAATTTAATTTCGGATCCGATGTGAATGCAGCTGATAAGACTATTCATCGCGTGCCTGTTTTGTAATTAATGGCCCTGTTAAACCATTTTGACCCAGGTGACTAGAGTTAAATCGTCACAATAGGGAGTTTTCGCAAGCTTACGAAAATGATAACAAATACGGGTTTTATAGGCAACCTTCCCCTACAGTAAATATGTAGGCGATTCATGCTCTTTGCATGAATCAAGGACCATATTAAGCTCGTACAGCATATTGTCAAGAATGTTTTGGGCACAAATAACGATAATGATAATGACGTTTTCTTTGCTGTGCGCACTTGCATCCGCCATTATACCACCTTGGGCACTATTGGTGACTGGTCGTGCGTGTGCAGAAAATATTAGGCCCCAGCTTATTATTATTTCAAAAATAAGTGCGTTGTTAAAATGTGGAAGACATAAGCTAACTCCAGGAACTCCATGATTTGTAAATGTATATTTGAATAGTTTCTGTTTCTGTTTCGTTATGACATCAGTATTATGATATATAGGCCTATAT